CCTCCATAACATATCGTTTGCTTTCTCTATCTCTTTTATTTAACACATTTACTTTGCACTAATTCTTATTGTTTTATTTACGCGTTTATTTGTGTCTAGAACATTTGCGTATTCACAACATTAGAATCTTGAGTAATTAACGAAAAAATTTCAATAATCAATTCACCCCCCTCTTGGATAGTTATTCTTGGGCTAACAGTTTGGGGTTCTGTTACTCAATTTGTGCTTCCTCTATACTCCCCTTCTACCTCTATTTATAACCTTCCTAATCACTTTCCCTTGCAACAGAATGCGAACTTACAAGAGATAAAGTAAACAGCATTCTGTAATTGCTTCTACTTAAGAGAGTTCCCTCTAGAACCAAGGTGGCGGTGTCCACCAAAATTGTACTGTAGTATCAAACATGATTCGCTGAGACTGAAGTTACAAAATTTCATCATGAAAAAGTTATATTGGGTAGAGAAAAAAGTAGTACATTGGAATATTGATCTACCGGAATATCCACCTGATTCACCCACTGAAAATAATATACAACAAATACAGCAACCTAAGAACATATACAATATACATATGCAACTATAGAAGTATACATCAAAAATTATTATGTTGGCTTCAAACTGCATGATTCTGTTGGAGAGCTTTCGAGTAGGGTGAAAGTAAAAAGGGCATACATCTGAATTGAGACTATGATTTGACTACAACCATTTCATATTTAATTCTGCTTTTGGAGACAGGAACATAGCTGAAAAATAAGAATATGAATGAAATCTTTATAACTTCACTTCATCACCAGATACAGCATCCTGTCTCTTTTACTCAACACTTCCAATTTCTGTCTTGTTTGAACTACAATAACGCTACAGATATTCTGCAAGATTTATACTTGATTGTGTATTTAAGAAGAAACGCGGATTTACTTTTCTTGCTCAACTATGGTGGAGGAGGTGATGCGGAGGCGAGACAATGTGAGCATGACTTGTGTATTATGTGTTGTAGTAGGCCAGTTAAGACTTTATGACAGTCATTATAACACTAGTTTCTCAATACAATCATTTCACTTCCGCAAAGGGATAAAACTATAATAATTTTGCAATGATAGAAAATATCTTTCACTTTGTAATGTAAGAGTTTTCTGTACAACACAAGCAGTGTTATAAGTACGACAGCTCAAACTTTCTATGAAGAAGAATCTTCAATTCCTCATAAGCGCAAGGAACTTTCAACGCCAAGACATGAATGAATAACAAAGTTTGAAAATCTTCAATTTGATGGACGGATACATTTTCATTTAACTTTCAGACTTACAGTAGAACCTCCGTGGCTTCTTGCTGAATTCACGAATCAGAAATGTCTGCTCATCTCAGTAGTGAGTACTAATGAAGAAAGGAGGTTATTAAACAAACAAGGATCAACAGGAAGAGGAGAGTTTGAAGTAGCTGAATTTTAAGCTCCAGCCAAAGTAGGTTCCTCATGAATAAGTAAATCCCTTTCGGCTTAAGAAGGCTGCGGTTAGAACCAGGAGATCTTTGAAACTCTAGGAGAATAGAGAGAGAGAGAGATCAAATCTCCAACACGTTGTAGAGCTGTGAGAAGGTCTCGTGGCTTTCTTTTTTGACTACAAAAGGATTTTGTCTGCTTGTTATGAGAAGTCATGAATAGATGAAACTATCGGACCATAATGCTTCATCCCTCGTAAGAAATGGAGAGAAGTAACTGCTGTATTCCCTGATCATGATCTGCATAAATTCTTTAATGCCATTAAGAAAAAATATTAACCAAAATTAATAACCAGATCAATCCATGATGAACAGAATCCAAATGTGGTTAAAATTTTACCTCTTGGGGCTCGCCTCGGGAATTTAGGCACAGAGGATGAATCTACAGGCAGGGAAGGTCAAGCCAGTAAAACACACAAGACATATAGTGACTCTATACTGAGAACACCAAGTGAGAGGCTTCCATTTAATTTCCACACTGGAACTCTTCATTCTCTTCCCAATCTGAGGCTCTTTAGACAGATCAAAGCTTGCCCCTTTCATCCTCAACTCCTGAATGCATCGAGTTAAGGCCCGGCCGTCCGCCCTCTCCCTCTGCAACTGCCTATCCACTTTCCAGTACCTGTAAAGTTTCACCTGTACCAAAAACACAAGAACAAGAGAAGTACACACAGATAAAACAGAGGGGATCCACCATTTTTTGCACACATTATGATGGTCCTCCAATGAAGATGTAAACAAGATTGTCAAGAAAACGCCATGGAAAATGAAGATAAAGCAACAGAGTTGGAAAATTTCTCTTCTAATAGAATCCATTCTCTTTTCTTTCATGGCTATTCTCCGGCCAAATAGGTCATCTTCTCTTTGCCAAAGCTTGAGAAGCAAGAAGTGGCCTGGACTTTGAGAGATTTCCGTTAATGGGTGTTGTTGGATTGCATAAATTGCATTCATGGCACAGATTAATTTCTGCCGATGCTCCTCGTCGACTGGGATTTCGACTATGTGGGCATCTTTTATTTCTGCCATGGATTTAGAATTTTTCAAAGAAAATAAAAACAGATTACAGATAAGAACAAACAAAATTAAAGAACGGCAAGTATAATAGAGAATTCAAGAGAGATTCAAATGGATTTTGTTGATTGATTTGGTTAACGGGTGTCTCAGATATTTAAATGGAGGAGAAACCCTGAACTGCAACGGTCATATTTCGCCTGTTGCTGGCAACGGGGATCGACAACGGTCAGATTTAAAACATTTGACGAATTTTAATACCTAAAGAGGAAACTGAAAACCTCTCGTTTCATGTATCACTTTTTTTTTTCCTCTTTAAATAGTTCTTTGTCACAATTTTTTTCTTAATGAAAAATAATATTTTTTTGCCACCGCCTAAAATAAATTATTGTTGCACCACAAACAAAAATCTTAAGCTTTTTTCTCCTTTTTTTCCAACATCTAATTGTGCGTAGCTTTTCCATCGATGACGACTTTTGCTTTCTACCACAACAAGATAATTTTCTTTTTTCTTACGGTAAATGTATTTATTCTATATGGTGTTATTACATGTTTTTTTTTTCTTTTCTTAATCTGGTGGTTTCATGAATTGAGAATTAAGGACCCCCCCCACCCCCACATCCTTTCTATGCCGCCTACGCTTCGGACGCAGAGGAACCACCACCACCACCATAATGTATTTGCCGGAAGAAAATTACTAAAGATTTATCCACAAGCAAAAAGAAGTTGAAAAACACTAACACGTCATTAAAATTAGTAAAGACGAATTCTTGGGGTATGTTTACACTTATTTGGAGAAAATTGGAGAGAGTTGGTATTTCTGTAGGTGTTCAATAAGTCAAACTCCTTATGAAGTAAATGAACAGTATACCTAAACTATATAAGTTGCAGTTAAATTATTGGGGGTGAATAATGAAAAATTTGCAATGCATCAAGATAGATGGAGATGAAAGCGGAGAGAGAAAACCATATTCTCAAAAAATAAAAATAAAGATGAAGTATATTGTTAGGATGAGTAAACCACAATATTGTATTTTATTTTTTATTTTTAGTTTTTATTGTATTAGGAGTATAATTGTAAATTTGTCGTGGTGTATATTGAAAATATATTTTAATTGATACTTAAATTTTGTGATGGTAATATAACTATCCCTTATCAAAATCTACTGAAAATCTAATTTTAATTTCTACCAAACATGAGCTAAATATAGTTCATTAGTTGAGATACGCTAATAGGTTTTTTTTTTTTTCAGAATCTCTTACTAATAGAAAATTGGTTATCATCAACATTGAAGTACCTCTTTCTATGAACCCCAGAAACCAAATCAGGTTAATAACACTTAGCCCTTGTTTGGTCCCCATTAAATTACATTACAATTTTCTCTCTTTTCATTTCAACCACACATTCATCAAATAAAATAATATTATACACAAATTAAAATAATTTCAACCACACATTCTCCCATCAATTACTATTCTAAAAACTTTCAACCCCCCAAAAATACAAAATAATGGGGGCCAAACTTATTGCAAAGATTGAAGCTCAGGTAACAATGTCCTAAGTATAAGACCCACTAAAATTAGAAATTTTGGGAATAATCTAATAACGCATTAGTCTTCCTGCGTCTTTGTGTTGGTCCTGTCTTTAGTTAAAACAATTGGTTACCTCTGTGTTTTATATTCGATTTGGAACAATCTGACTTGAACTCCACTGATTGATTGCATAATTTAGCCCTTGTTTGGGCTCCATTTTAACGGAAATTCGGGGGAAAATAAGTTTTGAAATAGTGATTTTTTGAAGAATGCGTAGTTAAAAAATAAGGAAAAGTTTTAAATTTACGTGCAATATTATTTTATGAGAAAATGTACGGTCGAAAATGAGTTTTTGGAAAAATTGGGGGCCAAACGTAGGCTTAGTGAGGCCAATGTACATTAATAAGACCCATGTACCCCAGGGAGTGTTGTTCGTTTGCTCGTTCTGTTGTGTATGGAAATTTTATTCACAAACTAAATCTCACTTTTCCAATTTAGGAACTTCGTGAAACTTAAAGCAGGACTAATCATAATTCGAGCCACAAATGCAAGACAACACATTACATGCATTCCAACTGACCAAATGAGGCCTAAGTGCTAAGATTGGTTGAATAAATTAGTAGTACCGCATGGAGCTTTGTTCATTGAGAAATGTTATTCATCCCCAGTGGGAATGCATCCCCAGTTTATGTGGCGTTAATGTGATATTAAATGATAGGTGAAATTAAATAAGTCAATTAATTTCACCTATCATTTAACCAATCATTTACATCCACATAGACTGTGGATGCATCCCCACTGGGGATGAATATCATTTTTTTTGTTCATTTGCTCATGAAACTGTATGAAACTAAATTCCTAGGGACTTGTGCATACTTGTATCTGAAAAGGGAAAAAATTGTGCGTACACACACAACATATCAATGCTTATTCCAATTCTTTTGTGACTGCTGGGTGCATCTTTTTAATTGTTTGGCTCTTGACTGACCAACTCAAAACAGTTTATTAATTGACTCTGGCTGAGTATGACAAGGGTCTGTTTACTTTCGTTGAGTGCTGATTCCATTTAATGTTCTTACTGTTGAAAAAAATTGAGTTTGTGGGTGATTTTGGCATGAATTTTGAGCGGGACCCGTTTGACTATTTTGGAAGATGAAAGTTGATTTGTGTTCTCCTCCGTGAGTACATCGAAATTATATACTTACTTGTCAAAAATGATGCTCGGGTGAATGAGAAATTGAAACTCAAAGTATGTCATGTGAAATGAGTTTATGTTGGCGAGAAAACTAAAAATAAGTTTGTCCCACATAGGAAGTGGATGAAAACTAAAACCACTTTATAAATGATTGCACTTTAGAATGGTATAATCATGTGTAGCATAGAGGCTCTCTCCACGTGCGAGCGCAGGGGGTGTACAAATCACGGACCGAAATATGCATCAGACCTTGAACTTGTGTGAGGGCGCGACCTGCGTACACGAATGTGGAACCGGATTGACCAAAAATTGGCCACTTAGAAGAGCCTAGATTTTATTTCATTTTTCAACTGACTTTTCATTTTCTGAAACAGTTGAAACTCCTAAAATGAAGTAAGTGGGCAAGTTACAAGATCCAAAGTATATATACATTGGTTTTTCCCAGTTTTCAGTACAAGAATTCATATGCATACAGTTAGGGGTGGGCTAAAACCGACCGACCCGACGAAACCGACCGAACCGACCCAAACCGACCGGTTTGGGTCGGTTTTTTGCATTTTTTGGGCGGTTTTCGGGTTTCGGGTTGGGTGGTCGGGTCGGGTTGGGTCGGGTTGCGGGTTGGCACCC